GCTTTAGGAGATTGTAAAGTGCATCGAGACACGTGAAGATTGCTGTTTATTGTAGCCAGCACCGAGCAGATATTAATCTGATCTTGTAGGAATACAACCTGCTTCGTTTTAGGAAGTTGTATAGTGCATTGAGACACGAGAGGATTGCGGTTTCTTTCAGCCAGTACCAAGCGGATATTCATCTGATCTTGTAGGAAAAGACCCTGCTTCGTTTTAGGAGATGGTATAGTGACTAGATACACGACACGATTGCTGTTTATTGTAGCCAGCACCAAGCAGATATTAATCTGATCTTGTAGGAATACAACCTGCATCGTTTTAGGAGATGGTATAGTGCATAGAGACACGAAAGGGTTACTATTAATATATGTTAGCCAGTACCAAGCAGATAATCATCTGATCTTCAAGAAATAGAACCTGCATCGTTTTAGGAGATGATATAGTGCATAGAGACACGACACGATTGCTGTTTATTGTAGGAAGTACCAAGCAGATATTCATCGGATCTTGTAGGAATACAACCTGCATCGTTTTAGGAGATGGTATTGTGCATCGAGACACGAGAAGATTGCTGTTTATATATATTTTAGCCAGTACTAAGCAGGTATTCATCTGATCTTGTAGGAATACAACCTGCATCGTTTTAGGAGATGGTATAGTGCATCGAGACACGACACGATTGCTTAATATTGTAGCCAGTACCAAGCAGATAATCATCTGATCTTTAAAAAATAGAACCTGCATCGTTTTAGGAGATGGTATAGTGCATAGAGACACGAGAAGATTGCTGTTTATTTCAGCTAGTACCAAGCAGATAATCATCTGATCTTGTAGGAAAAGAACCTGCATCGATTCAGGAGATAGTATAGTGCATAGAGACACGACAGAATTGTTGTTTGTTCTAGCCAGTACCAAGTAGATATTCATTTGATATTGTAGGAAAAGAACCTGCATCGTTGAAGGAGATGGTATAGTGCATAGAGACATGAGAGGATTGCTGTTTATATATTTCAGCCAGTACCAAGCAGATAATCATCTGATCTTGTAGGAATACAACCTGCATCGTTTTAGGAGATGGTATAGTGCATAGAGACACGAGAAGATTGCTGTTTATATATTTTATCCAGTACCAAGCAGATAATCATATGATCTTTAAGAAATAGAACCTGCATCGTTTTAGGAGATGGTATAGTGCATAGAGACACGAGAGGATTGCTGTTATTGTAGCCAGTACCAAGCAGATAATCATCTGATCTTGTAGGAAAAGAACCTGCATCGTTTTAGGAGATGGTATAGTGCATAGAGACACGACAGAATTGTTGTTTGTTTTAGCCAGTACCAAGCAGATATTCATTTGATTTTGTAGGAAAAGAACCTGCATCGTTGAAGGAGATGGTATAGTGCATAGAGACATGAGAGGATTGCTGTTTATATATTTCAGCCAGTACCAAGCAGATATTCATCTGATCTTGTAGGAAAAAAACCTGCATCGTTCCGATACTTTTTATTAGTTCCGCGATCCGATATTTTAATGGTATTAGATTCAATCGAGGTAGCGATCCTGATCGCGGCGATATTGGAGTGGACCACATTACAAGATTTGATTTCTCTGAAAGGGTGATACGTGGCAATAGATCCTGAGCTACAGATAGGCAAGATCATAGGTTTTGGTATTTGATTGGTTAACATTAAACAGAGTTCAATTTGCTTCTAAGTCCACGTGTCGACTTCTCGATTCCGGGCAGGATATTTGGCCTCTCGACGCCGAGAATATAGACTACAAGTGCACCCTGGATTGTTTGGCCAGGTGAAAAGGAATTCTTAACACAACAACTCAACTGATATCGGACGCAGAAATAACAAGTAAGGGCAAGACAAGCAAGTGCAGGACGGATCAAGTGGTCAGAAGGTTCTGCTCAAGTGGTCAGAAGATTCAAGCTTCGTTTTATTGGATAACCGTGATCGATTGGGAAGATCACACCAAGTACTCGGTCGATCTTGTAGAGATTTCCACAAGATCACCAAAACCCCCTATCCCTAATTCAATTAGGATCAACATCGACTCAAGTCCACCAAGAAGAGAGCAACCCGCCCTACTGACGGGTACACAAGATGAGGAAGGCTTTATACACGGAATCGGGGTAGCCCCTCCGTTACTCGGTCGTCCGGGCGCCAGTGGAGAGTTGGAGTCACATCAGCAATTTTGCGAATCCCACTCCACCACACGAATGGCGTCGATTAAAGTTGTTCGACGCCCCACAATCAACTAGGGCGCGAAGTGACATGTTCGAACAAAGTTGTTCGACGCCCCACAATCAACTAGGGCGCGAAGTGACATGTTCTTTGTCACATCGATCTATAAGGTGATGAGGGATACCTCATCACTGGGAGCAGCAACACACAGTGACTGTGTGTTGGGAGCAACTTTCGTCAAGGGTCCATCGAACTCGCTTGACGTTGCTGAATCAGTAGGGAGCTCCTCCCCTACTGACCCCGACCGGTTTTTGATGGTCCACCACGTTGTTGCGTTTTGGCAGCAGCGTGGGACACACGTCTCTGGTCCTTCTTGGCAGACGATCGATCGTCACTTTCAGCGTTACGAGACACTGAGCGTGGGCACTACACTCATAAGCGTAGTGACCCATATTTTGACAGCGATTGCACTTTTGCAATCGCTTGTATTCTGCTGAGCGAGTTCGCTCGCTCTCTACATAGGAGAGTTCCATTGGTTCTGGAACTCCGCCCTCCTGTCGTCTCGGTAGACAATAAGACCCCGAGTGGATATGAGTCTGATGTAGTCTAAAGTCCTCCTGTTTTGCTGCAGAGATCGTCTGATCAAGAAGTTCTAGTTCCAAGCGGGACAGGTGGATCTTAACGGGACCATCTGTCAGACCATTGATGAACACAGTAACCTGCGTGTGTTCATCTATTGGCGAAAGCACGATACAACTAACAAAGTTCGTACATGTTGGGCGTAAGCGTGTATATCACGCTTACCCTGTCTCAAATTCAAGAGATCAGCCCGAGCCCTGAATTCGGCGCGAGGCGTATCAAATGTGTGTTTGATCCGCGCGTTAAAGACATCATAAGTTCATTTATCGTATGAGCTCATGCAACTTGAGCCCTAAGGCCCAGGCTTTAGCAGGTCCTGCCAACTTCGACATGGCGAACTTGACTTTCATCGCATCTTCATCGAAGCGACGCATTATCTTAACAAGGAGTCGCTTTCGACTGCCTTGTACTTAATGACATCAATTTTAAAAAATCGGATCGACGCATATACGTCGACCCGACAGAGGCAGCACTAGCCTGCTGTTGTTTCAACAAATTAGTCTTTTGAGCACCCTGCTGCATCAATAAGTCAGCTTGTTCAGCGCCTTGCTCTCTCAAAAGGTCTTCCTGTTGAGAACATTGCTCCTGTAGCAAGTTAAGTTTCTTTACGACTTCGTAAAGTTTATATTGTATAAACTTGGCGATGGTTGCATGTTGTTCGTCTCCGCTAAAAGAGAACAACATGGCACCAACAGCAAAATTGCCGATGGTATAAGCCATACGCTGAACCGCGATCCATTCGAGATGACTCAAATGGCGGAAGCTATCATGCGTTGCGTGATGATGTTTTTCATTTGCTGGTTCTATAGCGGCTTGTACGGTGGTAGTTGAATGGACCACGAAGGCTATCAGGTGTAGTGGGGACGCCTCAGATTATATTCTTGGAGTATAATTTACCTTCACTGATGACAGTGAAACTGTTGCTTCAGCACTTCACGTGTACTTGAACAAAAGAAGCTAATCAACTAAACAAACGCTTAGTTGAGAAGGAAAAGAGGACTGTATTCAGTATAGTTAAACTATCTAGTAAAATTAAATCATTATAAACTTGTCTTAACTATATTAAAGTACAAATATGTATGCTACCTTCGTGCCCTCCACTCATTCCGCATGTCCATCGGTCATTGGTCAGCGCGCGCGTTGGTTGATATAATGGCCTATATTAACTAATTAGAGGGCATCTTCAACTTCAAGGAGATGCGAAAACAATATTATAAGTATATATATTATTGTCGAATATTATTGGTTATAATAATATTCTTACATATAAGTGTCAATATCACGTAACGGGCTCACCCCGTTACATTACACGTCTCAAATTCATTTAAAAGGTGAATTCTTATAAATATGAGATTTCCAGTTTGTGGCTCATGATTGAAACATCATGTTCTCGAGAGTTATTCGTCTTCAAAATTCCAATAAAAAATGCACATTGATCGAATTGTCCACCAGTATATGCTATAAATGCGTACATAATGTTGACATTCTGCTTTGTAGAAGCACACAATCAGGAAGGGGATTTTCTTTTTTGGTCACTTCCTAAAGCTACGCGCTTAATATCGTCAAGATAAGCACCGTTTGAAAACAGCCTTAGTCAGAATTTACGTTTTCCAGAATTACATTCTCTTGATCGTCTTTTACTACTTCTATTCAATCTGCGCTATGTCAGTTAGCCATCTCGATTATATCTACACATTGTCAAGGGGATTGCTAGTATACAAAAAAATGTAGTTATAGAAATATTGTGCTGCCGGGGTCGTCGAAATAGAGAGTGATTGGTACCTATGCGTTAGAAAAGGTGATTAAGTGGCAAGTCATATCAATTACAAACGCAAAACCACCTTGATTGCGAAGACGTAAATGTTTATAAAAAGCTAATCGAGTGTTTTGATTAGTCTGGTTGACTACGTCCTAAAAAATTTTTTTTTCTTTCCCAACAACGTAGTCACAAAGTTTCCGTAGCCTGGGTAAGATCGGGCTTTTCGAGGATAGTCTGTTGTGAAGAGAGCAACTTTGATTTAATTCCGGCAACGTTTCGTTCAAGGCCAAATTTTCTGCCGTTTCGCCGGTTGCTTGTTCAAACTGAAATTGTTCTTCCGCCTTTTTTTATGTGGATTTAGTAACTTAGCAACGAGGTGTTTCATTACTTCGATCGTTGCATTTACCCCCTAAGGTAAAACTTGGTCCAGATTTTCGTTGTAAACAAGTTTAAGGACGGAGAGCCCCGTCTTAGCTGTATTATCCGGATTCAGGGGTGTCAATTTGATGAAGTAGATCCACGCGCGCAAGACCGGACTATCAAAGGGTTTCTCTATCTGGTGGAGATTCAAAATTTTATAAACGTCGGCCGCATCTTTTCCTTCTTCTCTCCACTTCTTGAATTGAAGGTCTAGTAACTTCTGGACAATTATTTTCGTACTAGGGGCATCTATAGCACCCACTAGCGCACCCATCAGACCATTCATCCCCGTTTTGAAATAAGACAACACTATGTCAAGCACCTTATATGGCTCTTCCGGGGAATTATACTTTTTCTCGATAAAGTTGAACCACTGGGAAGCGATTGGGTCTTGAAAAGGATTCGTCTTGTCAAGCTGCAAAAGCTCAAATACCCCTTCCTCATTTTCCTCGTTTTTCACCCACGTTTCGACCTGCATGTTTTTCAGTTCTTCAGCGATCTCTCCCTTTCCCTGCACTAAAGCACTGGCGAGAGCATGATCGCTCTCGAAATGATGTGTCAACATTCCGATTATCGCCCTATTTTCCACGTTTGGTAATACCTTCTTGACTTTTTTCTTCCAATTAAGAAAAAGATGTTTGAGGAAGATGTTGCGGTTTCTGGCTAACATAACAGTACCATCCTGGACTTTCCTAATTTCTTTGAGCTTCTGACGCTTTTTAATTAATTTCATCCCTTCAAAAAAAATTTGGTTTATATCTCTCCAGTAAGTTGGCAAAATTCGTCAGCGCAGAAACCGGAAGTAGCGGAGTCTCTAGGGTCTGCGGGGTCAACAGGGTTCTCTCTCCGGGCTTGTCATCAGAGTAATTCGATGCCATGTCCGCGTTTGAGATTGAGGCTACAGTGTAGCGGAGCTGCACAGCTCTTTAGTCAGAGGAAGACTTTTGGCTGGAAGCCTCTTAGTTCGAGAGAACTAAATAGAGTTAAGGCTAAAAGCCACTTAGTTCTAAGGAACTAATTAAACGACTGAAAGTAACCCTGTTCTAAGGAACTAGGAGAGAGACTTTAGTCAGTCAAGCAATAAGCTTAAGGTTCAGAGAACCAACGCACAGGGTGCAAGAACAAGCTAGAAGCTTAGAGGTTCAGAGAACCAACGCACGAAGTGCACAAGAGAACAAGTCAGAACGACTTGTGATCTTAAACTCAAAAGGAGAACTGATTTTATTTATGCTTTAAGATTTTATGAATAGTCCTACTCTAAGTACACTACACTAGATTAATTACTATAATAGTAATTATTATATGCAGACTTTGCTATTGGACGACGTATCGTCTTAACATCTGTGTATGATGTACTTAGTACATCGTTATCGATTTATCGAATCCTAATCGATAAGATACGGTATTACCGAATACCGTATCTCAACGCTTATACTTAATACCTCTCTAAAGAGAAGTATCATAATGCATTATATGCAATACAAGGGGAGTTTAACCGTAAACTCCCGGAAAGACGCTACAACCGTCGTGTAACCCCGTTACATACAGTGTAAGTGTTATTCGATGTAGTATAGTCGTAGGTGCTGGGCATGGCATCCTTAAGCATCGCGGAAGCCACGCTCGCAGCTGACCATGCAATAAGCGTGGTTACAATCAGCATCGTCGTGGGCTGCGCTCAATAAAAGTACACAGTGGTCTGGCAGGCAAAATGTAAGGTGAAAAGACTGGGTGTGACCTCGCTGTCAGAGCCTTAAATTGGTTGGAAGGGCAAACATCAATACCGTTAAACTAGCCTGGCTATTCTTGAGGGTATTGGCCTTTCTAGCTGTACTGCGAAAGTATCTCAAGGGACCGAGCACATCGCGAACCGTATCATTATCGTCAATTCGTAGGACGTTTACATTCTTTAAGGATAATACCAGAGCAATGCGGTAATGTCGACAGTGTGGTTTAAGATAAAAAAATTGGTGTTGGGTGCCAGACTGTGGCGCGTCTGTTCGTTGACAAAGCGCACCGTAGGAATTTGACGGGTGTCAAATGATCTTATTAACTTTTAAGCTATAGTGAGTACCAAACTTGACGTTCCGATGATGAGAGCCGATTTGGTCAGATCGACACAACGTTAGTAATTCCCTGTCTATGTGTAATTTGAATAATTCAGGCGCAACAAGACGCCATATCCACGACTACCACACACTTTAAAAATGCTACGTGCATGTTTGCTTTTCATGTGTGGTAGTGATGCTCTACTTCAACTACCTTACTGTAGGAGAGATGGTCTGTTCTACACTAAACGTACTATACGCCAGAAGGCTCAAGTTAGCAGGCTTCACGAAATATGTGGTTCTAATCCCATTTATGGACCACCAAATCACGAGAGCTATGGGGAAACGGGAAGCTCTGTCGTGCAGCCAGCGTTCCGTCTAGTGTCTACAACGGTCACAACACTGCGTCGCCGTCCAATGAATGTTACACACTGTAACACGGCGCTTTAAAGCAGTCGACATCGTCTCTTTAGCTGCATCAGCGCGTGTTAGTCATACCCGAAGTGACACAAGTGACTTTCAAGTGCTCGGACCTGTTGGAACATCTTGTCTTCGGCTCTGCCAGCGACATGTAGGATGTTCAGCGATGGGACAAATCATAGAGTAGATGCAGATAGTCGTGTATTTTTTATATGGTGTTGCAGCCACAGCTTGCGCGGCCGATTTCTGAGCTGTGTCTTAGAAACAAGTACGTGGCAACGTTAACGTCAACTTTATGTACGCAATTGAGTCGCTGATTGCACGCGGCACGTACGAGGGAACGGCAACTGTTTCTCTCGCTGTTGTTATCATCACTAGGTACTTAGGGCAACAACATGACGGTACAGGTAAGGGTTGAATCTGCTCCAAGTACATCACTTACACGCAGTGGACGCGATCGGAGGTATCATCCGCCCAAATGGTCTTGTACAAACAAGCAGCGTTATCGCGCGCGGCACCAAAGCTACCTCCGAGAGTGAGGACAGATATCGAGCGCATGTTCCCAGACAAAGTTGACATCGTTAGACGGACCTGGAAAAGAATATGGGGTGGATAGCGTGCTCCGTATGCGTGACCATGCTCTAAATTTAGCGGAGGAAAGGGCATCCACGAAGCAAGAGGTAGCGGGAGTAAACAAGTCCTTCTACGCTAGCTTCGAGCGGTCGCTATTAAGAAACAACGAAGAGATAGGGATGTGAGCACCGATTCTACCTCCTCCTAGCAACAGAAATGTTCCAAGTCATTATTGTCACTCGGCAGCCGGCATTGCATAGCTTTCGTAACCGACAAAAGACATCTCCTGGAATACAATCATGGCTGAAGACTATACAGAAATCTTGTAAACCATTATCGGTGGTGGTGGAAACAGACTGTCTATATACCGTTTATGGTTTACAAGATTTCTGAAAAGTCTTCAGCCATTCCAGTACCCCCGGAGTTGTCTCCTGGCGGTTACGTGGGCTATGCAGTACCGGCTGCCGGATGTTGATGGTGTATTGGAACATTTCCGTTGCTAGGCGAAGGTAGACGCCTTTGCTCACATCTTTATCCCTTCGTTGTTTCCTGATAGCGACCGCTCGGAGTTGGCGAAGAAGGACTTGTTTGACTTCCGCTACCTCTTGCTCCGTGGACGCACTTTCCTGCTTATGAATACTTCTGTTTCGCTGAATCCAGAGCATGGTCACGCATACGGAGCACGCTATCCACCATATTCTTTTCCAGGCCCGTCCAACGATGTCAGTTTTGTCTGGGAACATATGCTCAATCTCTGCCCGCACTCTCGGAGGTAGCTCCGGTGCTGCGCGCGATAACGCTGCTTGTTTGTACAACTCCATTTGGGCGGATGATACCTCCGATCGCGTCCACTGCGTGATGATGTATGCCCAAGACTTGGATGCTCCGACACAGTCCCAAAGGATATGCAGGAGTCCTTCGTGTTGCCCGATGCAGGCCAGATGCCTCTTGCACGTCGAGTCCATGTCGCGTCCCGGAAAGTACAGGTTCAACTGATGAGTAGCTACTCTGTAGCATACCCAGACCTGGTATTCCGTGAGAGTGTGTCCGTGATCCCAGAGTTGTGCCGGTGACTGCGACATCGGGAAGTGGTTACCGTCCTGTGAGCCGTCTCGTTGATGTAGCCTGGTAATTACCGCCGTAAGTGCTGGATGAAGCTTTCGTTTGGCGCGATGGAATGGTTGGCGTTGAAGCGCCTTGAATGCGTGCATGTTGTTGATGGAAGGTGGGAGACTCCATGGAAACCCATGTAGCAGCGGATGCGCTGTCAATACAAGCGCCGTGTTGCGTGTTTTCTGTTGTAGATCCACCAGCTCCTGTTGATCAGCTTCTGGCACATCGGTCATGTGATCAATGATCCAATGGAGTCCGTCGTTGGCTTGATGGAGGACGATAAGGGCGTGGTTGCCGCCGGCGTGTGCTTTCTGGCGCCCGTGTGTGACCCCCTGGTTCAGCAATGTCCAGGTGTACGTGTTCAATACCTCCGGCCCGTTCCGCAGCGTAAGCTGAGCCGGTATTTGCATTTCTTCTGCTTCGTGCAGATAGGGACTTACCATAAGTATGGCTGTTGCCCATAGCCCTAGTTTAGGCAGCGTGTGGTAAGTATTCAGTTTCGTTGTTGGGACCCGAATACGGTAATCCAGCGTTGACACTCGCCGAATGTGTAGCTCAGCTAGCGTGCAGGCGGGTAGTAGTGGATATTTCTTTGTTGATAGCATAATCCCCTTGTCATCTATTATCCAAGGATTCTGATCCCACCTGTAAGTCGCCCAAAAGTCTTTGAGCTCCTGGGTGTACATGTTTGTAATAGTCGGGATATCTTCATAATATTGGAGAAGTAAATCCTGGTCCGACCTGGTGGCCACGAGGTGCGTCACTAGGCGCTTCAAAATTCCATCACGATGCTGTTTAATGATCGTCCATTCTTCTGACGTCGGTGCTTTCCACGCGCTTAATTCCGCTCTGATTTCCGGTTGTGGAGCCATTAGCGTGCTGTTTCTACCGGCTTTGGGTGATGCCGGTGAGATTCTCCACATAGCTGAGTCCTCCATATCTTGAAATGACCACGCTGCCCAAGCATAGAAGTAGCGATCGCGTTTCTGTATCAGCCACTTCATCGCATGCTTAAGATTTTGAGTGCATATGGCGACGTCTATGGAGACGAGCCCTATCCCCCCCGCCCCGCGTGGTGTGTATAGCAGGCCTGGATTGACCTTGTGTCTGCTGTTGCATGTAGACGTGGTGTGATGCCACATAAATTGCTTCTGTATGTTGTGCAGTTCTGCTCGAGCCCATTGCGGGAGCCGAAAGACAGCAGCTGTAAATAAGACTGCTAATAGCATGACAGCATTCAGTAGCAGTATCCTCACGGCGACGCTGGTTGAGAGGCTTGCCGCGGTGGCTAGACGCTTTCTGACGTTTCGAATCCGTAAGGCCCAATTTGCGTCAACCAGGTCTCCAGTCCCCACCTGGTAAACCATAATCGGTATATAGACAGTCTGTTATCACCACCACCACCACCATAATGCAGCACTTCTAATACAGAAAGTAAATAACAGACATGACGTTGTGGAGAGCATCTACGCACGGGTTCTGTTACCAAGCAGAGACAACTCTTGCGCTCGTAAACAGCATTATTGCGTGCCAGTATTGACAGGCGCCAGTCCCCTCGGCATCGCACGCTTGGAGCCCATGTCCCCATCTCAACATCCTCGCGTTTAAAGTTTTAGCCTCGACGTTAGAGAGAGAGACAGACGAGTCTATTTATTCTTTTAGGGATTGCAGGATGTCTGGTAGTTCCTAAGCCTGGTTAGCAACGACGGTACTCGATCGAGTCCGGTGATTGTATTGGACTCGGGATTGTCCGGCTATGCTGATGCAACATAGTTGCAGACGTGTACCGTTGTTCATTTATGTCCTTATAGACCGCTCGAGCGGCCTGTTTGTCTACTGTGCGTGGTCGCCGGAGCGACGACGCGTGCCGTGAGGTGCAACCATATGATCGCTTAGGGTAAGAACCAATACGCCTGTAAAGTCACCATGAAGTACGCGGCTTGAGCAATACTCGGCCAATGAGAGACCTGTTTGGGGCAAACCTAGATTACAATGTTGAGAACACGGCCATTGCCTCTGCAGAATGTGTACTAAGATCCACTACATGTTTTGTAGTCGGACGGTCACTTTGCGCTACTTGACGGACAAGCGTGTGAATAGGGCGCTCAAGTCTTGACCAACATGTCGCATCCAAGGTTGCACTACAATCTTGCTGACATGGCACACAATCCGCAGGCTACCGACAGGGGTGGGTTTGTTTTCGAAGCAACTTCTTGGTAAGAAATTTTGGTTCATGTGTGGTTTTTCAGCTGACAAGGCTATTGCCTAGATGTTGAGTAAGATGACGGCCGTGGTCCGTGGCATCTTTTTGGACGAGAGTGATGAAAAGCTGGAGGAGTGCATCCACTAGGTAAAGGCAAACCATCCCTGTGGTGCCTCATGGGAAGAGATTAATCTGGCGCTGGCGATTGCAGCATCGAGGGCGGAAAGAAAACTACTATGTTGGAGGGCGCGGCAGCGCTTTGATTGCGCCACGGGACGACGAGGTTGTTGTGGTATGCGGTACCATGTCCTCATGGTGGTGGCACGTCAGGCGCTCGTAGTGTTGGAGCCGATCTACAGCGCCGCACAAAAGATACAGTGGTAGGCTCCCACCTTTCGACTATTAAAGCCGCCCCGAGCAGGAGGTGGCGGCTGAGCGGACTTATAGCTTATCTTATTTGTTTTAGGGATTTGTGGCTGGTTATGGAGGAATGTAGCACTTTGTAATTTGAATCTAACTAATCCAAGCATGTCTTTTTTTCGCTTGCTGCATGACACTGCAATGCAGATAATGATTGCTGTTTGCTGCAGTATCAAGTGCTACAGAATCAGGTGCCAAGATATTAAACTCTGGTCATGCTTTACAATGTATACTAACTGTTTGCATTGCAACTAAGGAAACAATTTTCCAATTGACCAAAGGAAATAATTTTCCAATTGACCATCTAAGAAAGAAAATATTAGTGTCCAAATATTAGATTTTTCTGTAGCTCTCAGTAATGGATGCATTTTCGAGAATTTAAAAGTATCATTCTCAATATATAGGTATAATACCGTTAAATCGAGGATTTAAGAGATATTGCCTCTAGTTTAGCAATCGGCTACATGCACGAAAAGAAAGAAGACAAGAAAATAAGGAAGGTGCGTAAGAACTCAGTACTCTGCCAAGTCCAGCAAAGCACGAAGAAAATGTTAACTCCAGTGTAGCTGCTCGCATGGCAATCGTTCCTATACTCTTCGCGACCTCTAGGATGCAAAAATTCTGTCATTTAGCGTACTACACCGCGATTGAGGTTATGACAATGAGACCCTAATTTAGCCCTCGATGCTTTTGAAATTCTTCTTGTTAAAGTGCTCTTCCAGCAGTAGAAATGCCACATCAATAGTCATTGCTTCACGAATATAGCTGGACGCGTAAGACTTTACGGCAATAACGCCAAGTATTTGTAAAATGCTGGCATCCTTTTCCACCGTTAGTGGTCAAACTTGAAATGGAGGATCTGCGGCAGCAAATTTACACATCACTGAGTTTAAGTGGAAGGGGTTACCTTCCGCAAACTTATTGTCGGAGAAACTTGGGCTTATAACAATACGGATCACGTCTGTCACGATGTCAAAGGTTTGCACATCCAAAGGTAGGGAAGTCTCGTGCTCGGTGTCGAAGCAATAGGCGAGAAGGATGTCTTGACGCAGTTTGGCAAAGACGAGCGTGCTTTTCTCGACCGCATCACCGGGGTGATGGAGCCAAGCGAAGCAAAAGATCTACAAGGTGAAGACAGCGGGAGACAAGGTATGCCATATTGCGACGATACCTCGTAAGGAGCTGTGAGATGAGAAACGTTATTCCAAAATATATAAGCGTCACTTCATGGAATACGATGATAGATTGAAGAGCGTGAAGGATCTGAAAGGCTTAAATTGCGCTCGTCAAGTTCTTGGAAACGATCCAGCCTGACGATCCGTCGTTGATGACAAGATTGAAAAATTACTACAGCGTCTATTGGTAGTGGACAATATTAATGTTCTCGACGCAGATAGTTCCGTTCATTGCTGAAAATGGAGACCTAAAATATACTTGTCAATGCTCAGCTCTTGTAACGATGGCATCCGCCATAATAAGCCGCCTGGGTTGCGTGTCAAGCTGCTTCATTAGGCATGTCCGAAATTGATGGCTTCGTTGTATGCCATTGACATGCTCAGTCAGCTGCCATTTCATAGAGCTCTTCCAGTAGTGCGAAGTCTCCCAAGTTGCTTTGTATTGATAATTTGTTTCGGTTTTTCGATGTAGTCTCATTTTCAATGTGATAGCTGCTTACTTTGACCTACATGTCAAATGAATTATCATCTCTCCTAAGCACAGCGCTGAACCCAACAGTCATTCCTTGTTCACTTGCCGTAAAAGTTGCTGCCCCTTTAGTTGAATCAATCTAGATGCTGTGTCTGAAAGACGCTTCATGGTTGCGTATTGAGAGCGCGTAAGCTCAGCACGAGCAGTTGGATCAGTGCAACATAAGGTGCCCACGGCTATCTCGGTCTCAGATTCTCCAGTTTCGTCAAGTATTCGCACTGTCACTGGAAACCCGACGTAATAACGGATTGATAACGCCTTGACGGATTCCAATTTGTGAAAACGCACATCTGCTTCTGGGTGCGTTACCAGAAAAGGTCGAGTAGTCAATATAGTGTGTTGGCAGATGGCATGTTCTCGAGGAATGACAGTATGTTGAAAAACGGGATTCGAAGCAGCTAGAATGTGGTTGTGCTGCACACCCATGACCGTCACAAATGCATCGGTACATCCCGTTGCAAGCAATGCTAGCTGGCAGAGCAAATCGAGATCACGAACATCGCACATTTTATCAAACGATCCAGGTGGATGTAGAGGTGCTAACTGGTATGCTAGTAGCAACAAGCCCTTGTCATTAGCAGCCTTAAGACGGGAGGTGTCGTGGCGTGGAATTACACTGGATGGCACCATAGTTGCCCGATCGTCCGACAACTCCATCAAATAATTACGCCGCTCTGCGCTGGCCAACACGCAAGACTCTAATGCTGGTAACTGGTTTATGTCGCTCATAAATTTCCCAAATCTTTCCACGGTAGCGACATCGTTTTGATTTTCGCGGTCGCTGTGACGGCCTTCGTCATATAAAAAATTGTCACCTTTGATATAGTTAGCTTTGCTTTCTCGGAGAAGTATTCGAACAACGCCGAGGATGGCAGCACGATCACTTCCATCTGCAGAAGCATTCATCAACGAAGCTTCGAGAAAAGATGTGAGCAAAGGGGCTGCAGAATCGCCAGGCTTGTCTTCGACAACCTTTACTGGGCCGAGGTGATTAATATTATTGTCGGACGAGCAAACTTCCGAGTAATCGCATGTTTGAACACAAGCATGACATCTCGTACACACCACAATGGCCGCCACGCGTCTGTTTGTGCTCTCCATATACTCAGCACACCAGCAGTTAATACAGACGAAATATCCGCAAAGGTAGCATCTCCTCGTGTCTATTTGAAGTGACCGAAAGCTTCTCTTTGCGATAGCGGAAGCTGCCATCGACAGCGACAGTTTGACTGTAGCCAGGCTGTGGGTGCAGCATGGACATCGTGTGTTAGCTACCTGTATAGCGTCAAGATCCGCCGGCACTTGAATCCCAAATCGACGATGACGGATAAGTTGTGGAAGCTTGGTGATGCCTCGAGCAAGGGACAATAGCCGACGCAATTGGGCTTTTTTAGCTGTCTCATTATCGATCGAGCTTAATGAACTCGAGGTTAACAACGCATTCAATCCAGAGCTATGCAACCGTCCACTCTTTCGACTCGACCCACTACTACAGCTACTTGCAGTCGATAACTTCATGTTCGACACACTTTCAAACCACGTATTGTACACGACACGAAGTCCTTCCCGGTTTGGAAGTTGTTCAACTAAATATGACGCATTTAACCCATATAGCTGATCAACACGAGCATCATTTCCTAGAATTCGACCCGGTGTTGGCTCCATCGATGGCAACGCACGCTGGGAAATGGTGAACCCATCTCGCTCTTTCTTTCGCTGAAAAAAATCGGAGAAACACCACTGCTCATTCCGGCCAAAGAAGTTCGACCGTGTGAAGCTCATAGTCTTTACACTGAGCTGCTCACTTGTATCACTATCCAAATCGTCTTCATTTTGCTGAGGTTGTTTCATCGAGCATGGAATATCACGGTCAAAAGATCCAAAAATGAAGTTTTTCGAGTAAAGGCCTTGCATTGTGCTCGCAATATCGACTTCAGACCTCGTCCGGAGAACTCTAGCTACCTCCTCAATACTGGCATCAAGTGTTCCTTCACACATTACATCAAGCACAGGAACGCGAGCACCGTTTGCGTCCGCAGAAGACGGACGTCTAAAGACAACGAACTGGTCAACAGCCTCCACACGCTGCCACGGACTTCCCATTTCGGGACCAGGTGAAAGTGCTTCAAAGTTGATAGCCAAATGCACCGCTCGAGCTCGTTTTAGCATCACGCTATCGGATGGACGTTTGTAAATCCTGGCTAAGTCATCTTCGGTGTCATGCCTTACACTATCCCTTTGAGTTGAATTGGATCGTACGGAATTATAGTTGTTTAGGACGCATTGGGAATTGCTCCAGCCACGACCCTTACGTCTTCTTACTTCTTCTAACATATTTTGCACTTTGGCAAAGGATGTACGTTTAACCTATCGCCGTTACTTGCACTTCCACTACTGGAAACTTGGGAGCTAAGCACCGATTATATATAGATAGACCGTAGGATATAGACTCTTGCAAGTCCTAATCCAAAACCAAGGAAAACGTTATGCTTTGGTAACGCTTAGGACGAGTTTTGCGACTTACCTCTCTTTTGTGCGTTTTTCTCTAGCACTAATCCACTTTGGAGGTTCAGAAATAGCATCACTGGTTTTATTGCTGTTGAAGTCATTTCTTATTCAAAAACTTCTGACCTGACTGAACGGATAGTCCGAGTAGACTTCCGTGACTCGGCATACGTTTTGTATCACTAAATAATTCCACCCATTAGCTTTGTGAATAGAAATCGAGCGTAGTAAACTTGACCCGTGCGCATACCCATGAACTCGGGGTCATCAACTTTCTATTCACTTATTGATCGACGATAGTAAGCAAAATCGGGTGCAGTGGGTAAGCCACAAACTTAGTACGTTACTTACGGCTACGTCGCAATGGACACTTTTGTTTGTCTGCTTATGCGCTGCTCTTGCAACAGCCCATCTCGCACATATGCTGTCGAAAGCCTTTTACTGCATACGACAGACACGTAGACTGCCATTTTATAGAGTTATTAAAGATACAACCTACTGTATAGTTTGTAACAGAATTGGTCAATGGACTGATCCACGAGCCCTTGAGGGGAGTGCCCCGCCGTAAAGCCCCACGTGTTAAGCCAGCAGAATGAGAAAGCAAGAGTAAAAAGATTGCGTCCTAGTAGATGACATGAGTAGTTACCACACAACAAGACATCTTAGTAGTGATAAGTAGCTATAATAGACAGTCTGTGGTGTGGCTCTTGGTATTAGATTAAAAAACGTGGCCGTTGAGTAAAGACAAGGAGGAGTATTATACCAAAGCGCTTACCGAGAGCAAACGTCACGTATAAGTTTGATACGCTCCCGGATAGTTTCGATCGCATCGATGCATTAATCCAGAGCATTTCAAGAATAACTAACGTATGAAGCACATGTGGACAACCTCCGCTACTACTACATCCAAACGACTACATCCTCAGTATTCGGATTGGTGTACGACTACCGGTGTGACCATAGCCGCTCCTCTTGTTGTTGTTAGATCGGCTTCTTTTCGCCGGAGAGTCCCTGCTGAACGTACTTGTACAATGGGAAAAGGAGACGGAGAAGGTTCATGAAATATTGTATTTACTTGGCCTTTTTTCCTTTCGAAGTTTCTTGTGACATCGAGTGCAGACAACGATAGCAGCTACTTTGCCAGCTAAATTCTCCATGTTTTCGGCAGTCAAGCAGTCAAGCTTGACTGCAAAGCAAGGTGTTCGCAAGGTAACTTTTTCTCGTTTAGGTGCCAGGATCAAGTGACAATAGCTCAAGGCAGTCATCACCATCGAAGCGTACGTGAAACTGGCAACTATACACCGAAACGATTGACGAGCAAGCCTCAGTCGTTTTGCCGTTCCAGGTACCCTTTCCTGGCTCGTTCTCACCTGCACACTAACCAGCTAGGTTTTTGGCGTACAGGCGAGCACGGCTTATGTTTGGCTTCGTATGGTCATGACTCCTGTATCTCGAATTGTTTTACTCCCAAAAGAAGCCTAGCAGAGTAAAGCACACACGAAGCGCTACTTTAAATTCTCTTGACAATAGAAGTTGGTTCACGAGTTATGGCGCCTGCCCCAGCATTGTCGTCAATATAACCACATTGCAGGTTGGTTGGTCTAGCAATCCGATAAACTCCACTCTTCTCCACGACTGTACAACACGTTGAGCACCCAAACCAACACGCTTCTTCGTCAAGCTAATCTCAAGAAGTTTGTCATGCGAACTAGCACCGCAGGCGACAAGACGGGGCGTTCATAGTTGTAGCTCGGTGCATAGCTTTGTTAACGCCCAGTGCTTGAGCAGAATATATACATTTGCTGAAGATGGCTTTGGCCCCAGTTTGATTTAGAAAGGTCATTCCTCTTATCGCTCCTATAGTGCTAAAATCTCCATTAATCCTCCAAAAGCTCCTCACTCTTGTCGCACACGGCGTTCACATCTCCAAACCGAAAAACCTGCAATCGTTTTTATTTACTTTTAGACCTGCATACCTGCATTTATATTGCCTAGTGGATGCGCTCCTGGAGCTGTTCGTCGCCCTCGTCCGAGCGGCTATTATGGACTATGGCATTCATCCTATCCGGAACCTTGGCAATTATCTTGTCAGCTAATTTGCCATTCAATATCAAAGCCAATGTTATGTAACCGGGTCACCTCGTTACATTCAAGTTGTGCGTATTAAAGTCGCCCAAAGTTGAAAGAAAGCAAAGTCACAGTCTTGCTCGATGTGGTACACAATTTGCAGGCTAGACAGGCTTTGTCGGGTCTCCTGCTGCTTCAACGCCACGTGACGTGGCGTCTTCGTAAGTTTGATGAACTGCGCAGACATTAGTTGGCCCGTCTTCGGGTAAGCATGCACCCTACTGCCAACTACACGCCGATTGAGTCGGCGCGACCAATTGATGACATGGCTGTGTCGGAGTTTATACTCCAACTTCAAGCCATCACCCAGTTTGTACGCGAACGCACTGTATTCAGCAGTGGACCTGCAGGAAAAGAACACAAATTAACATGGCAGAAAAATTGAGCAAGTTAAAAAAAGGCGGTCGTGTAATACTATCTACCGAAGGTCTAAAAGATTTTGCAAGGACTAAACTAAGCGCGAGAAAACTTGCACCACGCTTCATCGGTCTATTCAAGGTTCTAAAGGAGATCGGTAATGCTTACACACTGGACTTTCCGCCATTGTTGCGACATGACCCGACGTTCTACGTCGGGAGGCTACAGAATATCGTCCGGCTACGCTTCACGAGTTGGCTCAAATGCCGGTTCAGGGGTCCGTAATTCGATCGGCCTTTCATCAGCACGATTGCGTTTCCGTCTCATACGACTAAGAATCTAACTCTCCGAATCCTCATCGGATCGAGCAGTTCACGGTTCGACTGCTGAAATATCATTTGCGGTTTCCTCCACCTGTGTAGCACGTTCAAGGGCAGCCTCAGCTTCTAGCTGAACATCGGCAGCCTTGTTTACAGTCTAATTGAAATTGTTTTGGGAACCTAGGACGCCAGCATTACCGTCGCGAGGGCCCACCACCGCTTTTATATGCGAAAGGACAGGTACGCTCGAATGTAGACCGCATTGTAGATCGCAAGGACCCTCCCCGTGCAGTGATGCAGTCGGCATATGAGAATCGTGCAATTCCATCCGCGCGCAGGTACCGATTAAGTTGGCTTGAAGATACTTCCGAGCAAGATACGTGAAAACTCCGTTCCTCGCTTCTTCGTGACGTTCCATATGTTGCTCGGTCATACGATTCCATGGAGTCGGGCTTACTCCGATACGAGCGCGAGCGTGTATGTTCTCGTGATGAGCGAGAACGGTGAGACTATTGACGCCGTCGAGAACGAAAACGATGACGTGAGCGAGAAAGTCGTGGTTAATATATATCTTTACGATCATGAGAAGAGTACCTCGCCCCGAAGGAGTGGTTTTCGAACGTGTCGCTGCCCTGTGCTGATCATTTAGCGGATATCAACTCCTCTATCGCTAGTGGTATTGCCAGCGAGGTGCACTACGAATAACTGCAGTATTCCGTTCGGTCAGACTGTACTCATTCTTTGCTATCCGACCTCTTTTGCGCTCGCTGAGTTGACACTTAGCGATGTGTCGCCATTCGTCACGAGTTAGACGTGGCATCGAATCACAAGATTGGCTCCTTCGTTGACCTTGATGAAGCAGAGGCATTCCTCATTCCAAGCATCCTCACACACTCTTTCGCGTAGCGCGCCGATGGAGTGATCGGCGCGAAGATCCTCTCGATAGGCGAGCCACTGTTGGAAACTGCTTCTGTCCTCGAGCATTCGATTCCAGCGTCGGATAAAAACGCACTTGGAACGTTGCAGGAATTCGTATGCAATATCTGCAAGAATCCTGCCGCGTAAACCGCGGAAAAGCCAAAGGTAGTCCTAAATTATTTTCAGTGAGTCCGAATGTATAAGGAGTTGGTCCATCTCATGAATTCTTATACTCTCGCTGATGGTGTAATGTATAAGTAGTTGTTCCATCTCATAAATTCTTATATTCTCGCTGATGGTGTTTGGTAATGATGCAGTGTTGGAATCCGTGTGTTCGGACTTTTCTTGATCGGGTTGTGAGCGTTGAGGTTTTTAATGTCAAGCACACACAATTGGTGAGTGCTGTTTTGAGAAGGGGGTGATGTAATAGGCCACATCGCATATATAACATCAGAAAAAAACAATTTCATTTATAGGTAGGTGCTGTGCCCGAATAGCGGGCACAGCCTGGCAACTATTATTAATCTATTATTAGGTACCTAAAGACCCAATATAGACCAATGATAAATCAACCTGAAAATGAGTAATTCTTGAAAGGCGAGAACACTAAAAAATATGTAATTAGTACGAATCGAAACAAAAATACATATTAAAGTTTAATTTACCTAATACCTAATACTTGGGCTTGAGTCTTCCTCAAGTGCGCGTGTAAGCAAGAGACGGTGCGTTCTAACCTCATTAGGCTGACCATTGTGATCATGATATGTGCTCACATGTTCCTGACGGACAAATTGTCATTTTTTGAACAGAATCTTTACTCGAATTGCCTCCGCATGTAAGCGATTCATGTAACGGGCTGAAACTTACACGGTTCGTTAAGTATTAAATAATAAAGGGGCAGGCCTAAATGGTTTCGAGATACCTTAGGTCTGCCACTTGAGT